CATACTGCCAGCCAGCCTGCCACTGGCAGCTGCCACCAACCACTGGCAGGTCACGTGACTTGCCACTGGCAGCTGCCACCAACCACTGGCAGGTCACGTGACCTGTCAGTGGCGGCTCCTGCCAGCCAGTTGAAGATTGAACCCCTACTGCCTATTTCGCTTCCTCTGACGTTCCGGTTGAAGGTTTCTCATGTAACGATATACGGCACATTCATGCCCTCTGTCGGGCTGGGGTAAAAAAAAAGAGATCCTTTACACTCCATAAAATGGGTAAAAAAAAACTCCCTGGGGTGGTACTCTTTCAAAATTACTATAATAAATATGTGATTTAGATACCAATGTGTACACTTTAGGTAGTAATGAGCACCCTTTAGAGGTAAATTTGGTACAAAGTCCCAGTGACAGCTTTTGTACCTTTTTTTATGAGAAAAACACTGGGTTAGTTTTTCAACCCAAATCGTGGTTGATTTAACTCAATTTGGGTCATTTTGGCAACCTAGTTCTGGGTCAAAAAGGGATGTACCCAGTGCTGGGTTGCCAAAATGACCCAAATTGGGTTGTTTTTAAAAAAAAAAAAAGTTTGTAGGCTACATTGCTAAACCTTTAGTAACCAATACAGTCTATAGCAGTGTGGAAATATAGGACATCTTTGTGCACACTTTAACCCTGTATGGCCTGACGTAAAGGGCTGAGTATGTTTTTTTTAATCATCATATCATATTTAATGCATCAGGTTTAATGACTGTATGTGATATATAGACAATATGAAGCTCATACTTGAAGAAGAATAGCAGCCCAAACTGGGCAAAAAATTTGGGCAATTTGGTGCAGTTGCTGATGTTTACGGCGAAAATCTAAGATGGAATTCTGATAGCTTGTAATGTATATCACTGAGATCTGTATAACAGTATAACAGGCTTACATAGGATAAAAAGATCAGTTGTCACTCTCTGAAAGCTCTATAGTTTTTATTGTGAATGGGGCAAAACATATAATGCAGTGCAATACAATGATGACTGAGAGATCTACAAATAAATGTTACTCAGTCAAAAGTCTGTTGTGGCATATTTGCATATCACAGTTTAACATGATTTTCTTAAAAAATTTTTTAAAGTTGCTTCAGTTCATTAAATTTTCAACTTGAAATATTATTAAAAACATAAAAGCTATTGTTACGATATTTCATAAAAATCAGTAAAGATTTCACAGTAAAAAGTCACATGTACCATTACCAGAAGGATCTGTTTTTTCAGTTATACAGACCACAATCAGACCACAGAATGCATGTAGTACATTGTGTAAACCAAGTTTTTCAGCAAAGTTTTGATCATGTGGATAATTTAAGAGCCTTCTATCAAATATGATATGATACAGTAAGCTTTATAGGGTTAATAAATACATTTCTACTGCCTCTATTATGTTAAATGTGTTTAACATCGATATATATTTGATCATAACCCAAAGCCTGATCCATTAGAAGGCAAAATAATTCCCAAAGCATCAAGAGTTGGGCTCAAATTTCAATGCATTGAGATGTTTTTCTTACAGATCACCAGATGAGGGAGTCATTTACTGCTGCTCAGCTACAGATATGATTTAGCATAACAAACAACTCTGAAACCCTCCTCTCATCAGCTCTATGAAGGCAACTCATTTATGAACTGATTTATGTTAAATAGTCCTGCATATGACATCTGAGAATTACACTGAAGAACAGTAACACTTTACAGTAAAGTTCCTTTAGTTAAGGTTAGTTAAGACATTATTTAACATTAAATAACAAGCAAAAAAAAAAAAAAAAAAAAATTATTACAGCACTTATTAATAATTTGTAAGGTTAGTTAAGCAAAATAAAAAAGGTACAGGAGCTATGGAGACATCTTTTCTACAAGCTGAGACCAAGACTTCCAGTTTAAGACTAGGAGGCCAAGATCAAGACAATATTCACTAAGATCCAAGGCCATGTTGTGATCTTGAAGGTTTGTCTCAAGACAAAGAGCACACAATCAAGACTTCAATTCTGATGTGTATATTGCTACTGTACATATACACAGTGGAATAGCTATGTCATATGTCTATTTGGGATCTCTGACACAGATCAGGATTTTAGATCATGGCAAAGTTATTTGAGATTGATAAGTCAACATCTTCTCTGAGCTCCTGGGCAGTCAGCCAGTTCTCACTTGTCACAAGCCCTAATTTAGCTTTGCTCTGGTACCTGATAGTGAAGACTTCAGCTATCTGTAAGCAGATACGCAGAGGAAATACAGCTCTCTTTAGACCTTGGTCATGATTAGCAATGATATCTTAATGATTTGCGAACAATACTTGAATGCTTTAACAACAATAATTTATACATTTTGATCTAAAAGTCAAACTATGAGAAAGTTTTAATCAATAGACTATTGTTTCAGACCTTTTAAAGTATCTTTTTGTATTCTAACACAAATCACATGATAAATTAGCAAAGATACAAATTAAACTAGACCCATCAAGCTAGATTTTAGGGCCTGAAACATTGGAACATGCTTGAGTGAATTGTTATGCAGCATATTTCAGCAACTGTGAAGTAAATACAAATGTTTCAAGTGTTACAATTTCTCTTTGAAACCAACTGTAAACTTTCCATCCTGCCCAGTGTCCTGCTGTGATCTGCACCTGTTCCTGTAGTAGAGTAAATGCCCAACCAGGCCAACAGCTGACTTGTTGAGAGAGGGAGCAAGGCAGGCAGGAAAACAGTAGTAAAGAGTCAAAGAGAAGAAGAAATAAAGACATAAAGAGGGGTTACATTACATTTGACATCACACTTCCTGTGGGAATTTTATTTTTTTATTATTTGCATAAAAAATAACCAATAAACCTGACATTAGTTGTTGTGTGATATTTGGGAATTCTTTTGCCTAGTCAGACAGATTTCCATTAAGTCAAGCAAAAGAAAAACATGATGATGCACAGTCAGTGGCTCCATAATTTGTCCATCCCAAGGAGTTTAATAGTCCCTAAAAATGCCCAGAGCATCTGAGTTATTTTTTACATTAAAGTTGGCATGAAATGAAATTCAGAAGATCTATTTTCTAAATGCATCTTATTGATATTTTCATGAATGATTCATCCATGCATTGTATCTTTTTTCTTTCTTTTTTTAAAAGTTTTTCCTCAATTTCTATTCAAAATATCAGCTGGATCTATCAGATTTTTCTCTGGTGATATATGCATATTTCTCCAATAATTTCATCCCCTTAAACCCCACCTCTTTCTTATAATCAGCTGTAAGCTCACATTTAGATCCACTTCCATCCAATCATTTTTTCTTCTCTCTTATTTTAGTCAAAAGTTTATTGCAAACACGCAGCTTCCTGCTTCACAAGATGCTAATTGATGGACTGGAGTCGTGAGGATTACTTGTGTATCATTATGATGTCTTTATCAGTTGTTAGGACTCTCATTCTGATGGCACCCATTCACTGCAGAGGATCCATTGTGAGTAAGTGATGTAATGCTAAATTTCTCCAAATCTGTTCTGATTAAGCAGTGAGAGAAGCAGCAGTGAGTATTAGCAGGCTAGCTGTCTCTATAGCTCTGATCTCTGCCCACAGGTGGGACGCTATTTCGGGCTCTCTCTTGTTGTCCCCATTGGTCTTCCAGAGTGGAGCTTTTAGCATAGCACTTTAGCCTTCAGATTGAAGAAAATTAATTTTTAGAGCAACTTTCAGAGGCTCAAACAGTATAAGGTTCAAATATAT